CAGTCCTGCCAAGCTGACAGCTCCAAGCTCCATGGAAAATGAGTCTCGCTTGCATTACAATCACGCGGGACAGATTCCATTAGCACTATCTGAAATTGAGCGCGGGGAGCAGAGAGCGGGAGGCAGCAGCGCGTGGCCTTATCAGAGGGAGAGGGTGAGCTCCACCACCGACGTCACTAATCCACTGGGTGGGATTGAGCAGACACACACACACACACACACACACACACACACACACACACTGAAAGACAACTTGGAGAAGATGCACACAAGGCTTTTCACATACTGCAGACAACAGGCATAAACAGTTAAAAACACACAACTATGTATATTTATGCACACACACACGCACACACCTGAAGCCAAAATGTCCTCACTCAGATTAAAGGCTAAAGCTGGTCCTCACAAAGATATCTGTACAAGAGCACATCAACACACACACACGGCCTCGAAACCACAACTTCAACTCTCAGTGTATTGAAAATGACCAAAATGTGCCTTTAGCTAAAGGACATGATGAAACTGGCAGAAAATAGGCAACAGCTCAACAGCTCAACTCTCACAGACTCCCTGCCTCTGCCTCTCTCTCTCTCTTTGCAATTGTGTGTCTGTGTGTGTTTTCCTGACGAGAGCTGGCAGGTCTGTTCAGTGCTGCTGTTGGGATTTGTAACACGTCAGTCCGTTGGTTTGAGATGAAACTGAGCCTCTCTCGCTGTGTGATCTCTACCTGCCTGCTCGTGTTGTCAGCCCCCTCCTCGCTCTCTCTCAAACAAACACACACACACACACACACACACACACACACACATTCCTACATACTCCAGTGTAGTGGTCCCAGACCTTTGGACCCCACTGCACATGTACACACATGTTCATGTGCAGGAACACCTCCCCCCCAGCCTAGTATCCTCATCCTTATTAAACCTTGACACATAAATTCAAGGGTATGTGGGTGTGTGATATTAGCTGTATGTGTTGGGGGTGGGGAGGGGGTTTAATCTTTATGTAGTGGGGATCTTTCAGACAAGATCACTCAATTTAAACAGAGCTGGAACACTTTGATGTTCCCAGCCGCTCGCTCTCCGTCTCCCATTCACCCCCCTCTCTAATTTGCTCTGTGTTGCCCCCCTCTGTGCCCCGGTGATAAGGTGTAATGAGAAATGTTTTCAAAACGGCTCTCACCTACCATGCAGTGATAATTGAGGGTGTGCTTGAAGCAGCCGTGAGAGGAGAGTGCTCATCCCTGACCGTCGAGGAGAAAGGAGAGGAGAGGAACACTTCACTCCTCGTGAAAAACAGAGAGGGAAATAAATGTGACACATGCTTGCATCAAACAAGCCCCTCTCACGGCCCTGCCCTCCTGCAAGACACAAAGTAATGAGGGGAAATGCCATCTTCATTAGTTGCCATTTACAGGGAATTACGACGATGCCTCCTCCAGGCTGTTATTGGTCACGCTGACAATGAGCGGCGAGAGCAAGAGAGGAAAGAGAAGGAAATTTGGGTGGAAGGAGACAGTGTTGGCCTACATTCATTTAGCAGCAAGGGGGGACGATGCTTCAGGAGCATCAACACCATCAATAAGAGGAACGTGAAGAGATTCAGTTTCAAGAGCAGAGTATAAACCAAACAGGAGCCAGAGTGGAAAAGGACAAAATAGAAACAGGAAGGCAAAAGAATCACTTGAATCCAACGGGAGAAGAAGAATGACCATGAACTGGGACGAAGGAGGTTAAATCTAAAATAATCACATTTCTCAGCTGTGGACAAACTTTACAACCTCATCACATCTCAGCAACATTATGTTCATCTACAAGCCAGCAGATTTAAGGTTGCCATTAACGCCACCGCAGCAGAACGTGATATTTTAGGAAACAAAAGAAGTTAAAGAGTATTGAGATAAACCTTCTGAAGATTTTTTAACATATTGCTTCTGTTAAGAGGTCAATAATCACAATATGGTCATTCTGATGAAAGATGCCTGAACATCTTATTAATGTAAATAAAATGAAATCATTATTTAAGGATCAGCTTTCTTCAATCACAAAAAAAACGTTTTCTCATGTTTGTCTAGTTATATGTAGATTTGCAGATAGTTGTTTTTGATAAATTTTGAATGCAATGTCTGCAATTATAATTTCATATAAAACATAACAGAAATCTTGAGGACATGAGCCAAGAGTGGACACAAAGAAAATCTCTAATTCCATTGCATGATCTAGAGTTTTGATTTCTAATAATTATAATGTTTGTGGAGTGTCTTTTTAAAATTTCCATTCATTTATGTTTTTATTTCTTTTCATAAAACTGTACATGCATGTTTATATGCTGCGAAGAGAAATCATGTTAATTGGTAACACACAATTGTCATTTGTATGTTACCAACTGCAACATTTTTTTCAAGGTACTGAATTCCGTAGTTATTGACCTGAAAGTTGTCAAATTTGAAATATTAAAGCCTAAAAACAAACCATGTGCAGTTTTCTTTCAAACTATGGGATGTGAAGTCACGTCAGATCACTTAAACTGAAGAATTAGCAGAAAAACTACAGAGGATGTGACCTCAGTGTCACTCAGCATTATTTCTGTTGTATATGACATTCAGAGTAAATTGCTGAAATAATGCAGTGTCTGCAGGGATTAGTGGTTTGATGGAAGACAGAGTGAATAAACTGAATCATCAGCAGGCTGCTCATGACTTCCACAGTGAAGATGATGCTGTATTCCTGCAGACCTGAGGGAGGTGTTGAGACAGATTTCCTCCTCTGTCATATTCTCACTCAGCCACATCCAGGTCGGGCCCTCCCTTCACTAAACTGTGACATGTGACGACAGCAGAGCGGGAGAGGGTCCGGATTACACAACCCGCTGCCACAACATCACCTCCCTAACAGGATAACACAGCATAATAAACTCCATAAAATAATCAAACTTATTACAACTCTTAACCCTTGTTTAATACTTTCTCGGCTTACGTGTGCTGGCATCCGCCGCTCATTGAGCCACAAAAGAGAATAATGTTCTCAGACTTGGAGAACACAGGACAGCAGCTTGTGGTGCCTTAATATTGGCTTTAATTGGATTTGTAAATTATGTGGCCAAATTAACACTTTCTATGGCTCGGTTACTTATAGCGGGATGTGTGTTAGGGAAGAAAAAAAGAAGTGAAAGTCTTAAAGTTAATTAATCGTCTGTGGCCTCGGCTTAATTAAAGTTTCCCAGTGTTTGTAGTTAATGGGTGGATTGGTGGAACAATGGTGGGAATGCCCCCTGCTACCTTCAGAGGGAGTCCTCAGAGGGGACAGATTTCAGAGCCGCTGATTAACACACACACACACACACACACACACACACACACACACACACACACACACACACACACACACACACACACACACACA